TTTTTTTTTTGCTATATAATGATTAACACTTATCTATTTAGATAAATAAATTATCATTACATATATGTTTACAAATGAATTTTTTTTGTTTTTTTGCTACATAATGATTAACATTATCTCTCTTAGACTCGATAAATTATTATTATACATATGATGTATTTTTTTTTTTTGTTATATAATGACTAAGTTGCATCATCAGTTATCTATTTCTTAAATTTTATAGATATATAAATATAACTCTTTAAGAATCAAAAGGTAAAACATTTTTGAAAATTTTTGAAATAGATAACAATGATACTAATAACATATCACCTTCTGAGAATCTTATCAATAACACTTCACCCAATTTATCTTCTTCTACCAATATATCTACTAATACAACCTGCTCTTCTACCAATACAACCTGCTCTTCTACCAATACAACCCATTCTTCTACCAATACAACCCGTTCTTCTACCATTACAACACATTCTCTTACCTCTATTTTTATCAATACAATCTGTTCTCCTACCTCTATTCCTATCAATACAACCTATTCTTCTACCACTATTTTTACCAATACAACCCGTTCTTCTACCTCTATTCCTACCAATACAATTCGTTCACAATTGGTGCTTCCAACTCCTGGTTCTCAAAATAGTGACAGTGATTCATCCAATTCATACAAAAGCATTAAAAGTGTACAGAATATATTTGAAAAAATGAAAGGAAAACGAACAAAATCAGGACATACTACTCAATCACATTATTCATCTCTTTCACGACAAACCTCTTACTCTTGACAAGATACTCCATCTCGACAAGATACTCCATCTCGTTCTCTATCTCGTTCTCCATCTCGTTCTTAATCTATTGATTGTAATAGATCGCAATCACAGGAAAGATCCCAATCATTAGATTGACAATTTTCCAATCAAAATGAGCCATGCAATCATGATTGTGATGGTATATAAGTTCCTTTTTTTTATTTTTCTTAGATGTTACACTTTGTACAATTTTTTTTTTTTTTTAAAAAAAACTGAATTGAAGAACATTCAAACTAATACTGCCGGCGGATGGATGAGAAGCTATTTATACAGCATCAGCAGCTATACCATTTACTTAAAAGAATCAATGAAGATGTATGAGAAATCAAGGCCAAAGTAAAACGGCAGCGACGTGACACTGAAAATAAACTTTCTCAGAAAGTTTTGAACGTGAGTATTCTATATATATCGATATATATAGATGTAATCAGAACTCTAAGTTGGAATTTCTATAGAATGCATTTACTGGTGTTACAAAACGCCTCTTCCTGTTTCATGTATACCCCACCCAGACTGTAGTAAAGAAAACCTTTAAGGCTTACATGGAAGAAATGTTCCCAGATTTTATGTCTAACATAAGTTCAAATAACTTTACAAACTGTTATTATGGCAATTGGTTGAGTCAGATAATGTTTTCTTTCTTAATTATGTATTGCTTATTTGTTATGTTTGTTTATAATTGTTTATAATTGTTTATAATTTTTAATATATTTATTTACTATAATTTATACTATACAGATAATACTGTATTTTTAAATTAAAGCATATATTGTTTGTAATTATGAATAATCGTTTTTAATTTATTTTATAGCTCCTGCAAAAGATTAAGAATAATCGCGATGCTGCCTTGCAAAGCATTAGATCTGTGGTTTAGCATGTTTTTGGGCATAAAAAGCTGCCTTTCTTAAAAAGTAACGTGGTTGTAGCCACTATTGTGAGTTGGAAGGAAAGTCAAGCCATAAGCAATTGCTATCGCATGCTTTTCAAAAAAGATAATAAAGATATATTCTGGGTGTACACGATCGCAAGAATAGCCTTTTCGGCGGTGGTGGTTCCGACTTTAACAAGCGCATATTATGCGTTCACGCTTGTGATATGCGATATCCTGCTAAACTCCTGATTACAAAACATTCTGTATACCAAAAGACGTATGAAACGTTGTATTGAAAAATATTTGGTAAGTAATTGTAATGTAGTTTTTATTTATATTAATTTTAATTAATTTTAATGTATTATTATAACAAAAATTTGAGGTGATAGTCCCTCATATGATACTGCTGATGCCATGTTAACTGATAATAAACTTTGCGATAATAAACGATCTGACAAGGCGTTTTCTCAATATGACACTGATCCTGACGAAACCCTTTTTCAAAGATCTTCATCAATGCATCTTTCTCAAGAAGAGATAGATAATTTGTTTGATTTCATTTTGTAGCATTTTATGTTTTTTTAGATAGTTTTTTTTTTAATGTATATCAAAGATCTTCATCAATGCATCTTTTCTAAGAAGAGATAGATGATTTGTTTGATTTCGCTTTGTAGCATTTTATATTTTGTTTAGGTAGTTTTTTTTTTAATGTATATTATATATATTATATATTGCACATTGCTTTAATATTACAATAAAATAGGGTGTAGCGACTTAGTGAAGTTGGCAAGTTGTCACACCCCCAAGCAGCAGGACTAGAGTTCGAATCCCACCGGCGACAAAAAATTTAAATTTAAGAAAACGCATTTGGAAGACTGTATCCTATTGGGTTATAGAACCTGTAATGGTGGTCGTACCAGCTTGTACTGGGAGGCAGTAGAACATGTAGTGTGATGTACAAGTTACACAAAACCCAAGTGAAGCTACTGGATAAATCTAGCGAATTTACAGGGTATAGGAGCCTGCTTGGCAAGACCTGAGTAGAGAGATAGCACAGATCTTTGACAGTACTACATAAAGGATTATCTGGAAACCAGAAAACTGGACGGAACTGAAGTGTTTGGCAAGGCACTCTCCACCAACCTGGCCGCCAGAAGAGTAACCAGAGGAAAAGGACCCAATCGTGAGGACCAAGGGCAGGTCACAGCCCTTCCGGACCAACTGGATTGGAAGTTTGAGATAGTCCATATAGTAGATGCTAGGGTTTGGGCGAACTCTATAAGGGCGGTAGTAGGTAATGATAGTGGCCTTAGCTTACAAGTACTTGTCCTCGGACTTGGTGTAAGTTACCGAAAACCTAGATTAACCGGATTGTGGGTATGGGTAGCTCTAGCAATGATGTCTTGAGGATAAATTAGTTCTAAAAGTATAGGTGAGCATCTGGAACTTCGTAAGATGTAATGGTGATACGGGTAGAGTTGCATTACAGAGGGTTTAATTGGATAGCTCAAGTAATAGTAGGTTATAGGTACGATATCTAGTGTAGAACCTAGTAATAGGTAGATACTTAATTAGGCGCCCAAAAGGCATAGGCATAGCTAGAATGTATTCTCTAATATATGGGATTGGGATGAGCCCCTCACTCGGTAAATACTTGAATAAAAACCTTAGTCCCCAAGAGGCTAGTTAAAGAGAAAAAAAAAAAAAAATTACAATAAAAAAATGTAATGTATGTAAAAGTAAAATTCTAAATAAAATAGTTACTGCTTTAAACGTTATATTGCTAAAGCGCTATAGTTGGTATAATATTAGTATTAAATTAGCTATCAAATAATGAATACATATTGAGAAGAATCAAAAATATAGACTAATCGATATATATCGAATTTATATTATAATGACTATATATCAATATATATTTAAATCAATATAACCTAACAAGAAGAATTGCTATTGATATATATCCAATATATATATATATCGATATATATCAGTATGTTTTTTTTGCCAATGATTACCTCTTTCTCTAAGCTCTTTATCTTGCTTTAGCTAGCTTTAAATTAAAACTAGTATTCCTTATAGATTAAATTCCAAATAAACCTAGTATATATAATTATTAATTTATAAATTTAGATAAACCATGATCATTCTAGTTGGTTTAGACCACAAATAAACTAGTCTGAGTTTTTTTTCTTAGAATATGAAATTTAAATATTGGGCTAGGTGCTGAGAAAAGGGACCAAATTGACAAAAAAAAGATCTTTGGAAAATCAATTTTTATGTTATAAATCTTATAATAAATCATAAGAAAATGCAAACTTTAAAGAGCTATACCTCAAAATTTTATTAATACAATTACTTTTAAGTAAAAAATGATTCTAATCTTATTCTAAATTGATTTATATAAAAAAATATCATTTGAAAAAATTGGCAATTTGGTCCCTTTTCTTAGCACCTAGCTCATATAATTCTTTTTTTGTAAAAGAATTTAATTAAATTTCAATAAAAACAAAGACATAGTCTCACCATTAATATTCAAAAAAAAAAGATTTCTTCATTTAAATTTAATAAAGAATTGAAATGCCTATAATATTAAAAGCAAAATAGTTTTTTTGAAGTTTGAATGAAGATATCTTGACAACCTTCTAAACAAATGCGAAGTAGTTTTTTTAATTCTACCAGCTGGTAAAATTAAAATAAAAAAATTATCGAATTTACCAGATATTTCTACTTCAATTTATGTTTTAATTCTTTACTAAACTTTGAACGAAGATGTCTCGATAACTGTTTAGCAAATTCAATAAACTCTTTTTAATTTTAATTTTACAATTCTTTGAATTAAAATAAAAAGTTCATCGAATTTATTTAGATGGTTAAGATATCTTCATTCAAATTTTAAAAAACTTTATCCCAACTCCAGGTTTTCACTCTTATATGATTGATACAAATCGATATTATTTACCGTCCCTGCCATGAATATAGTCTTGCCAATTTTTTGTGACAAAACTCCCGAATTCCCGCTATTAATGGTATTGAAGCGACGAATCTTCTAAAAACTGTAATTATCATGGACAATGAATTAGGCTATTTGGCTTACAAAAAATTTTTCCGATGCGTAACGTACGTACATGACATTCGCAAAACTTGCAGCATAATTTTAAAAACTTTTATCGTATAATTTCGCATAAAATCGATTTGTAAAGCAGGCAGAATTTGGGGTCGCAGGGTACGTGGCCCTATCTATCTGTCACGAGCTTACACTGATATCGATATGTTCAGACAATATCGATTAACTTTTTTTTTCTTTCATTCGAAAAAAAAAAATGTTTCAGTGCGAACATGCCCAGTCACGCGTTGCTTTTCGTTTAATAAATCAACATATTGTTGACAATTCAATTAGACTGATGTCAATGTGCCCGACAATGGATTTAATCGCCGTCTGTACCGAGTCGGGAAGTGTTTGGGTAGCGAGGTGGTATAATGCCTTGGAAAAAATTTGGACTTTACCTCCTAGTCAAGACAGAGAGGAAACTGTCGAAGTTTTCACCTGGAGGCCCGATGGTACATTCATTATTTAAATAATAAAATTTTCAAATATTAAACTCGTCTCAACTGTTTAGGAAAAGTTATTGCTATCGGGTATTCAAACGGAATAATACGACTTTATAATGTGGATAAATTGGAAATGATTCATGAATTATTCCAAAAACCACTCAAATCACCGTCGTCCAAATCTTTTGCAATAAACTTTCTTTTTTGGGTACAAGAAACCAAAAAAGACTCAGAAAACATAAAGTACGAATAATAAGACAATCTATTCGTTAAACAATTATACAAATGGTCATTGAATTCTTTTTTTTTTTTTTTTTTTTTTTTTTTTTTTAAATAGTGACGCGACAAATGACTTTTCGATGAGTGCCCATCCTGTTCAGAAATATTTGCCTCGATTAAACATCATGCCAGATACAAAGCCGATTAGGTTAGTTATTCATGCATTAATACAAAATGTCAAATTTTTAAGTCACTTTAAGCCCTTTAATTAACACAACAAATCTTAGCAAACTCTTGGGTGACTTAAATGGATCTGATGAAGACGATTTGGATGATGGGTCATCCGGATCAATCGATCTACTTTTAGCGGGTGATGCGGGCGGAAATTTGCATTTGAGGTGGATCTTCTTTTCTCCTTTATTCTACTGAATAAAAAATTTTGATATTATGGCCAGAAATAATTAAATCGACGCGAGTATGTTGATTCAGCGTATACGGAATATATAACTTACAACCAATATCTTTATCTCAGCATATTCAAATAAAGGTGGGCTTTATTAAGTCTAATGTATCGGTTAATTTTGAAATTTGTTAGAATATTAATTTTATTTAATGTAATTAATAGAATGCGACAATAATAAAGGCTTCGGTCACACCAGATCTTTCTCTAATAACATTGCTAATACGGACAGATGATTGCCCTACTTCTTCAGCAAGCGTTGAGTCCCATACAGATCGTTTATGTTTTGTTACATTTAATACGGGCTTATTGTACACGCAAAAACTTGAAATTCGTACTTTATCCCAAAGATATACTGCAATCAAATACTTAACCGGTTATATATTTAAAGGAATCAAACAAATTGAATTAGAATATCAAGATTTGAAATTTTTGACAAATAAATTTGTTGAATCCTTTCAAGAGGTATTGGAAACACATAACGGTAAACAAATTATACATGAAAGTTTTCGAATATTATCGATTTACACTTATAAATGATTATTATACGAATTAATCGTAAGGAAGCAAAATCAAAATTGTCAGCGGAGTTTGTCCGTTTATTGGCTACTGGGAAACCAAGTAATTTATTAGACGAATACATTGAATCTCATCTTACAAAACGGGTAGATAATCTATTTCGTGTGATATTATTGATTTTGTTTTCAGATATATTTTTATTATTATTGTTTTTAAACACTTAGGCGTTGAAAGATTGGGAAAGCAAGGGTCAGAAAACATTTGATCAAATTAGAGAATATATAAATCATTATGTGCGTATAGGGTGTGAAAGACTAATGATAGAATTGAATGCATTAGTTGGATGTAGTAAATGGTATAACTTTATTATTTTTTTTTTTTTATCAAAACTTCGGAATGATTCATGCTTTAGATTCTTTCCTGATATATCACTCAATTTAGGCCTCAAAAATTTCAAAAGCTCGGACTCGATGAATCATTTATTCATTCTTGTGTAATCTTAGCTGGATGTATAATTTCGCGTTTGGAGAAATTAAATTCGGTCATCGATGAGGAATACATAAATTTTCTAGAGTTTCATCAATGGCTTCAATTTGGTAAGGTTCATTTAAGGTATTTTATATGATCAAATGATAAAGTATTCATGTAAATGATGTCTTCATAAATATGTTATAGAATTTGATAATATAACATCTCTTGATCAAAACACTAATCCTGAAGCTTCACCTCGAGTGGATGTTCACAAAGTCTCCTCATATATAAAAAATTCACTTGGCAAAGATTTCTTAAATAATTTGGAAAAGTTTTTCGTGGATGACCGACAATCTTCAACAATATCACTACCTACATTTGAGTTTCCGTTTTCATCATATAACTCTTTAGACAATTGTAACCTTTTTCAATATAACTCATCACAAAGTAACGGGTTGCCAGCATATCCATATGATTATCTTTCTTCTAACAGTGCATTTCAACACGCACCAAGTTTTGAATCTTTTGTTAACGAATTGATTAACCGATGTGACACCTTATCTTCTGCAACAGCTGATAATGTTGCAAAATCTGTTAAGGCACATGAACTCATGGACATAGTCGAGGGCACTAATTGTTGTATTGACAACGTATTTTTGGCAGATATGAGAATTGTAGCCGAGGTATGAATACCTGACATTTGTTCTGGCTTTAAAGGTTTTGATATTTCATGATAATTATATTTGTAGGCTTCGGGAACAAACGCATATGTAATCTTTTATTTATCACAAGATCGTAATGTTTCTCCAACATGTAAGCTTGATGGTTTTCGATCTTATCATATACTTACAGAATGATAAATTAATTAATGGCATTGAAAATCTAAGTGTGGGTCCTCCGATTACCTTTGTACGCGAATACTTTCAAAAGTCATACACCATCTTCAAAATTTATTGATAACTCCTTTAGAAATAAAAACGGTGAGATTGCCTGTATCCAGTTAGTGAATAATGAACATCCCGAAGAATACTTGTCGATTACCGATTTAAACCTTTATGATGATGAAAGATTATACATGATTGTAATTGGATCAGAAAACGGTAGCTAACAATCTTATACGTTGGTTTATTTTATAAATCACTTCATGTCTTATATAATAATTCTCCACGCAACTTGAAGATGAGCCAATTCTCTTGACAGAAGTAAAATATACAGAGTTGAACTTCATATCAATCCCAGAGCCATATGACTTACAATCTACAAATGAATTCAAGTTGCCGAATGTCATTAACCAAGTGTGGGACCGAATGGTAAAATAACATATCTCAAATATTTATTAAGAGTGAATGTTTTCAAATTTTGGAATTAATACTTTTTATAATATCTTCCCAACATATTCTGAAAGAGCGATGGAAATTTTACACCACTTTTAGTTCAACGATTCCGTGATCTCACTCATTTTAAACCATTACAATTAACTACAAACGGGGCAAGAGGGTTAATTGGTGCCCTTAGTAATGATAAGAAAAATTTTATTATATTTGATACGAATGAAGAAGATGCAGATGATGTGAGAGAGGATGATGAAAACATAAAAATGATGGAAGAATAGAGATTAGTAAATTACTGATTACAGTAGGGAGACTCTTTAAAAGCTTTTTACTGTAATTTATGTAATCTTTTTAGTGATATTAAAAATAGAGCAATTAAGAATAAAAAAGACATTTTAATCAAATTCTTAGTGATTTCATAATTCAATTCAATCTTAAATAATGAAGTCCATCTACTTTTTAAGTTGATGACATCGATTTTATTTAAATGGATGAGACTATAATGCTATGAAAAATTTGCCATTTAAAGAGGAATTTATCCAAATTGAGATATAATCTATCTTAACTACAGTATATAATTTAGATAAGGAATGTGCTTTATAACAGCAACTCAAAACATAAAAGCTAAATTTCGATTTTGAATGTTCTATAGTATGATTAATAAAAAATGGTTTAATTGATGCAGGAATTTTGTACGCGTCTTTTTACAAATATATTACTAGACTATTTATCCGATTCTTTTTAATAACATCCCATCTGTTATTTGCTAAATATGCGTCGAAAGAAACGGAGGTCTAGGAGTCGGTGTGAGCGAATGAATGGAAACATTTGGACGAAGTTGGGCTTTACCATTATTATAAACTTGAAGATTAGGTTTTTTTGTTTTTGTACTAGGAGGTGGAGAATCATCCCAGTTTTGAATAAGAATAAGAGGAACATCAGGATTACTTTCATGGTTAGTATTAAAATCTACATCTCCATCACTGGGTATAACAGTCAATATTGGTGCACGAGTTTGTATGTCTCCGTCTTCTGGCTCGATCTTATCATCTAATGTGAATTCTTCAAAATCATCATTTCCACTGGCAATATCATCTATATTATTATTAGGATCTGGATAAAATTTTGCAAATGCATGTACAAGGTCATCAGAAAGGGTAATAGAATTTGGATGGTCTTCTCGATTTTGGATCCAGCCAACTGGTGGTGATCCTGGTGGCGAAATGAGTAAATTTTTTTCGAGTTCTGGAACGTTCAGATGCCGTGCGTTGTCCGTTTCGTATATTGAAATATGCTACATATATTATCCGAATTACAGAGCCAAAAGAAAGAATAAATTTGTAAATATGATTTGAAGTATTTACGAAAAAATGGTTTAATACGTGACATTTTGTATTATTACCTGCCCAAAGTATACACGGATGGTTTTTTCTAAAAACATTGACTTATCAAATTGTTCTTTGGCATTTTTTGCATCGGTAGTTTTATAGAAAGTAACAAAAATACGATTAAAGGACTTTGTTGGAACGAATTTGTAAATAGTACCATACTGTTCCAATTGACTTTTCAATTTTTCAAGATTTTCAGTTAGAAACGTAGCCTGATTAACATTAGTAATGATTAGAGTATTTGTTGCGATTATTTGTGAGGCTGGCGAGGACATCATAAGCTTGGTCTAAAACAAATTTCGACACTAATAAAATTTTAGTTTGCACGTGACACTGCGCATCAATGGTGGCTCACATTCTGATTGGACGAGATAGCGGTTTAACCAAAAAAATAAAATTTTATTATTAAGTAACCTATCAGCTATTTTAAGTCTAAATAAAAAATTAAGCAATTAATCATCATCTATATTATGGTGAGAACGGTCTAGTCGCATCAAATATTTTACATATTATAAACTTAACTTTTTATCTATACAAAACAAGTAGCTTTCTACGTATTTAAACTATAGAAACTTTTGACGCTTACATAATCGATTTTGATTGGCTAATTTTGGTGTAATTGATTCTGATTGGTTAATTAAATATATACCCGGTATCTTTTTTTTTTTAAACAGTACCGGACAGCAAAAAAACAAAATTATATATCAAGTAAAAGTCCATTTTCACAGAGTTTTGTAGCTAGAATAAAAAGCAACAAATCTGTAAGAGGGATTTTTGCTAAATTAATTTGTTCTTGAGTTATAATGCTCTAAAGTTTAATATATAAATGATTTATTAACAAATCAAAATTAATTTATAAAAATTGTCCAATCATAATTTATTATATAATCTTCAAATTTGGTAAAAAATATTTGATGTTTTTTGCCATATTAAACGCCAATTTCTTAAACCAACTTTTTGAAGAAAAAATCCTCTGACAGAAATATAGTTTAGCGATTTGTTTTAAAGTTTTTACTATATAGTAAGTAAATAGTGGAGGAGTTGTTGTTTGTTAATTTTGGGAGGTTTAGTTGTTGTAGTAGAGTTAATAAAATGTTGTTGTTGAGGTTGTTGTTGTTGAGTGTTGGAATTTGTAGTAATGAAGTCTGTATAAGATATAGTCAGAATTGAAATTTTAAGTTTTTTAATCAGATATTGATT